CATATTACTTTATATAATTTTATTTTAGTTTGTAACGTAGCTATAATGGACATTGTATTATTATCGAATATTTTCGGCTAAAAACAAATTTTTGAAGCGAATTCGTCTGTAATCGTGTTATAAAAGGTAAACTTCGCAATCGTGTTGCATCCACCATAAGCCTATCATCGATAATAAATCGTTTTAATTATTTATTATATTATGCGATGGAATAAGGAAGTTTTGACTTAAAAATAAACCGATTGTACATTTATATTAATGTAATTACATTCGTAACTTTTTACATAAGAAAGACAGGTCTATGATTTAAATTATTACAAGACGTTTTATACTGTTATAATGTCCATATTATATCACTACACGACTATCGCTTAAAAATAAGGTTTCCTCAACCGAATAAAAGTTAAAACCCATAACGATAACATAATATACCTACTATAATCCGTATAAAATAAATGATGTCATATGCATACCATTAGGAGAGTTGTATGTCCATTCAACAATATTGAAATCAGTATACAAATTTCAACACTATATTGGCTAGGTCGGCACTCTCATTCGGGAGGCAACGCAAAATATCTCTACAACTACCTACCTTGATTGTTATAATTTTAAATTATTTTGGAAAATTTACACAATAATAACGAAAACATCTGAAATTCGTAGGACCAGATGAAGCAATCGACGTAGACGAAAATGGGAACAAGTCGAGTTGAACGACCACGACACCAAAACCACGTGACAGGCATCGCAGATCGACTACGTGCACGATCCAAATTGCCTCGGAGCTGAACGGTTACAACTTGACTGGACTATCTGGTTCCTAAACTCGTGCCAGAGGAATAGAATTCAAATGCGAGGATTGCACATGGTTTTATGAGCGTTCCCATAAGCTGTGTAAGTCCATTTATAAATTTATATTTAAGTGGGCGTGAGAGGTTTATTTCTATAACTACTATTGCTTAAATGTAAATCTATCATATTATGACAAACGAAAATACAAGATTTTATTTATTGAATATTGACGCCAAGTGCATATTATTGGAAAATTAGCAATATAATGATAATGTACACAATTAGTTCACAATCTGGTATTCATTATTATATTATTTAAGAATCAATGAAACATCATGGTTTAGTTCGTTGTATGGGGAGGTGGGTCCTTTGAGTTTCTCCGTTATAATCGCCAGCTAAATGTATAGACAAAGTACGTCATAAAAATTTAGTTCCGGAAAAGAATAAATGTTTATTTTGACTGGACCAGTGTGGCTCATGACGTCAAACTTAATGCAATCGTTGTCATTATGCTGGACGCAGTAGCATACGCAACGGATTATATAATATTTCAAGTATCTATACACAATTAATTCATCCCGAGTCCTATAATAAATATGTATTGTGATTTGTATATGATATTGATTGTGTAGATGAGCTCTACCATCACTGTCGTTCGGACGAGGTCTGACTTCCTGTGCGCCAACTATACAGCTGGATCAAAGATTCATTTGCCATTTTGTGTCCCAGGTGGACTCCCAAACTCGCCAAGTACTTTAGCAGGTAATTACGACGTCACGACGTACGCATCATAAATATATATTACCTATATTTTATAACACCGATATGACGTTCGCGTCGTGAATTAGGCAGAAAAGGTATGAATATACATATTATATATGCTATTTATACTCAACGAATAATAATAACCTAATGCGCTGTCAAACATACGATATATATACGCACTCTGCCGTAGGTGAATATTATAATGTTTTATACACGGTGATTCTACAGTTACATACTATTAATTTGAACGAGTATTTGTTCGGTTATTTTTAATCGTTTATATTAAGGATAATGTATAATAGCCCTTAAAAATTGTTTTCACAAAATAAAAATATGTATACGTCAGATCTAGATTTATTATATGATTACTTAAAAATTATCAATGTTGATGGATTATAAATTATATAACTTTAAATCAACTAGTAGCCGCTGTCCATATCTTCCAAACCTATTATTATTTATTATGCACCTATTATTTCAGTTCACTTTTAAATAACCTTCAAATAATCGTTCAATACCTTGAATTTTCGAATTTTCAGTAAATTATCTACTAATAATGGTTTATCGCATAAAATATTATCATTAGCAATACGTAACTGAACGAAGTACATCAGGAAGTGTTTAAAATGTTGAATAATTAAAATAATTTCGGAGTATAGATACATAATTTATGAACTGAAAAAGATAAAAATAATAAAAAATAATAGTTTTTAAAATGTTTTTCTAAATTTTTTTTTTTTTAATTGTTTGCTTAGTTAGGAGTTTTAGTTTTTTGTAAATATAAAATTAGATCCTTGTGGATTTTATAAATAATTATCATCATAATTTTTTAATGTTGATTCAGTTTTAGATTTATATTTTTTGGCCATAGGGTTATGTAAATTGTTTTGATAGCATAATAGCAGAAAATCCTTATACCTACTATTTAATTATTTTGAAAATTATTATTTAAAAATGTGTAATTGACTATTGCCTAATCTGGCAATACCGCATGATTAAAGGTAAGTTAAAACGTTCGCAATCGTATATCGCCCTTATGGATATAGTCGTGTAATATACTACAAAAAAATAAGGTGGTAAGATAATTTGCATTTAATATTATTTTATCGGAGTCATAAAACAACGATGTTTAGATTTAAACTATTTATACGTTTCCAAATTATTTACAATTAAAGATTTTAAACTACCTCATAATTTAAATGTTACATCCTACACCCTTGCACATAACAACTATTTTTTAAAAACATTCTAATTACCAGATGGTTTAATTTAAAACTATGAATTATAGTTTGAAAGCGCTTTCGTAGAGCTCGAAATGTTGTGAATAACAAATTAATCATCGATTGTACCTACATTTTATTCGATTCACTAAAATAAGGTGCGTAATGAATAAACATAAAAAAAAAAAAAATAAGGAATAGTTAATTCATTTGAACCAAAAATAACTGATATATCTAAAAAAAAGTACGTATTACTATTATTCTATGTTATACATTTAAGTTATAACCCATATTTAAATATATTTATATATAAATTATCAAATAGAAACAGTAAAATCTGTTATAAGACTTTATGGATTGAATGTACACTTTTAATAGCTATTTCATTTTGTTGGTATTTAACGTTTGATAATTTTTAAATCTAGATCAAGCAAAAGTATCGAAACTAGCAAGGTTGTCTTCGAATACTGAACAATTGAATTTCACCTATACGTCTGTGTATAATGCATATTATATAAATAGTACATAATACATAAACTGTCAAATGAGGTTTTGATGGTAATATTATTTTATTCTAATGATAGCAATACTAACGAAATAACCTCGACATTTCTTAACTGACACTATACGTACCGAGTTTTTTTTGTCCGCTTTCGCTCTCGCTTGAAGTACAACAGCAGAACCTCGTAGCGCATCTAACTCCGCTACAAATACGGACCATGTCAGTAAACCTGTAATTAAAATATACAAACGTCAATTGATTCACCTTCAATGTATATTAATAATTATAATAACTGTTTAACATATATTCATACTATGTCACATGAGATGACTCAGTGTTTTCACTGGATAATGAACATACTTTTTTGTATAAGAAACTGTTAAAATAATTTAAAAAGCCCATCACATTTTACACTTATTATGTATCTGTAATCAGCACCCATGTATTTATGTATAAATACCACAGAGTAAGATATAATACAGAGACAGTATAATATAGTTATTAATAATGATTAAATAACATATTTTGTCTAGTATTTATGTATAGAATACAGATCGTATAACTTGCAGCATATAACTACACAGACATAAAGTCTCAGTATTTTAATTTTTAATTTGTCATAAAGAACACTTGAAAAAAATAATTAATTAATTACAAATCGTGCACGAAAAGAATATTACAAGTTATTGGAGCAGAAGATTCACAGCTCTAAAAACGGAACACATTAAATTTTAAATACATTTATTTTTAAATATTAAATATGAACTTAATATTTAAAAAAACAAGAAATGTGCAAAAAAAAATTTAATTTAAAAAAATTGATTTAAAAACTTATGTTTTTATGTTTTGCTTCTTTTTAATAAATTTTAACTTCAAATAATACTTCTTGTAAGTTTTAAAACAAACTAAGCCCTAAGGTCTAATGCAATAATCGTAATTCAAACTCATAAATTATACAATAATGAATAAATCAATATTTCGTTTTTAAAATAAATGATAATATCGTAATAGCTTCAGACGTAGTGGATCAAACAATAAAATTTCAATGAAAGAAAAAATGTTCTGAATAAAATTATTGTTTTGATTTCACTAAATTATTATTAATATTCATCTAATAGCCAGTTGTAATTTCACCGTGTAGTTTATAATTTATTTGATACATGAGTGCAGGTATTAGTATTGTATAATAATATACAATATTAACAAAAATATAATAAATGAATTACAGTCAATAAATCAATATTTCCGTTAAGTCTACGAAATTGTATCATCGGAACAATACGATAATAATTACTAAATGATGAGCATTAATCAAGATAAGAGTACATCATATTATTATTTACAATTATTTGTTATACAAATTATTTTCTATGTGGTTACAGAATTTTCACCAAAAACAAAAAATATAAATTTATCATCCAGGAAAAATTACATCCAATAGCAGTAGATGATACCAACATAATAATAATAAGTACTTGTAGCATACTTATAAGTTAAGTAGGTATGGTATACTTATTTAGTACATAGTTCGATTTGTTCCCGATGCATTTTTAATCAGGTATAATTCACGACATGTAAAATATTCTGTGTATTGTGTAACAGTGGCATACATTTTCGATTGTTAATATTATTATGAATTAATGCGATATATAGCATTGCAATGAACCAGTTTTAAAAACCCATAAACACGGTAACGCCCAGAGATACTCTCACAAGCACACACCACACGAGCTCATGCGCCACCAGACCCCATTGCGTTTCCTGGACAAACGTGACGGTGGCATTGCAACATACCAATAAACACGTAATTAGGCGCCGAAAACATTATAAATGTCTGCAGTACACCTATGTATTCGGACAAGTGTTGACGTAATTCTTCTAAATGCATACTTGTGCGTTTAAAACAGTTCGAATAAGATGACACAAACAAACCGTTTAATACGCGAGTGTGATGTACATATATTTTTATAGAATAATAGTTTACTGTTGTATCGGAGCACAGGCCACATGTGGCGTCACAAGTGTGAATTATAAAATTTTTCTCTCCTTGAATCGATCATTACACAGCAACTATATAGATCATAAACATATTGTAATGATATTGTGATCTACCGTGCACTATACATAATAGCATATTATTTTTTGTATAATGCGGTGATAAAAAAAAATGAACAGTGAGGAAAAAATATACAAATCCTTGATCTTCGATCAGTGTGAATGCACTTGAAATGCGCCTAATGTGTATGATATATAATATACAACATGATACAGTGTACGTACAGCGTACGCTGAGCCCATATCAATTTATTATTATTTTACATATTCGTCGAATCATCTACATGGTATTTTATTTTTTTGGATTGCGCGTTATAGGACAATCGTCTACCACATATTCGTACACTGAGACCAATTTTCGGTCGTCAACCTTCATGGCAGATTGTCATAACAATAATATAAAACATCAAATATTCAATTTTATTATTGTTTTTATTTACCTTCAAATACTTATATTTTCATATTTTGGCTTAACCAATTTATTCATCACAGGCATATTTAATTCAAAAATTTGATAATTTATCAAATCGGTCAATTTTTTATTGAATAGGTACGAATTTAATAAAATACTGCGTATACCATTTCTATTGAAAATTAAAAAATTTATGTCACAGTTCTATGATACATTATGTTTGAATCGAACAAAACGTACAGTTCATAATTTTAACTCAATAAATTGTTCATCTGTTGTTTGATGAATAGTTTGATGATCTAAATAAGAAATAAGTATGAGTTCAGAAATCATGTAAACAAATGTGTATTAATTTTTGTTGATATTTATGATACATATAAATAAATTTATCGAACTATATTTTTGAAAATTTTAAATTAATCTCAATAACCGCATACGTATTTTGTGCGTGATTATTCACGCGTATTATTATATTATGTAAATAAATATCTAATTAATATTTAACATATTATTTTCACTATGTACGATTCTTGCCAAATAAATACCGTAATCACTTATCAATATCAATATGTAACGTCAATGGAAAGTTACGAATAGATTGACTTTCATAAGTCAGTAATATCGATGAACGTATGTAATCGTGGGTGTTAACTGTACTGTGCAAGTATAACATATTATATTCGTGTATTAGTATTAATGTTATGAATTATAATTACAACGGTTACAATATTATTGCTGAAGAGTGAACCAATGAATAATTTAATATAATATTAAGACAATACTAAAATACACAATAGCTGCGTTATTTTCACAATTTATAAGCATCTGGTATTCTGGTGTACTGTATACATTTTATTCTATACTAAGGTAAGGTTTTAACTCAAAAATAATTAATTATATTGTTAAGAATTCGTGTGTATATTAGTCAATTTAACACTTAGAATAGAACAAAATTTTACCTAACATTTTTATAAATCATATCCTAGGATAATAATAGATTATTGATAATAAGACGTGTATTTACTTTTTACATTCATAATGCATAAAATAATAAAAATTGGGCACTGGATTTTATAATAATATTCCATCGATCGGCATAAATAATAAAATATAGTATCCAATTTTTAATTCATTATTTTTATACCAAAAGCAGGATGTTATTTAATACTGTAAACATTTACTATAATATTATTCATTATTTTAATGTCCGCATTTTAACATAATTATCATCATGTTTTAAATTTTATAATTTTTTTTATTTTTATTTTTTCGATCCAATAGAAAACAAATTGTTTAATAATTATACAGGAATACATAATTAGATGACTCGTATAATATAATTATTGATACATAAAGAAGTTAAGAACTATAATTTATAGTTATTATTTAATTATAAAACTTAATCTGAACAATATTAGAATAAATTAGAAATGTATAATAAAATATTTTACGTTGAATACATTTTTTGTACACAATTACTTATTGTTATTGTATTGGTATCAAATATATAAAATTATTACAGGAGTCATACATGCTTTGTGAAATATTAAATGAACATTTAATTCAAGGACACCTTTTTTATTATTATTTTTTTAAGTTATTGAATTTTTTTATCTTATTGCTTTATATCTTTTATTTTTTATATAAATATATTTATGAGTAAATATTACGTACACAACTATGAAGTTTTTTTATCGATATTTTGCAACATGTCATTTTTGTACTACAATTTTTATACATGTCTTATAATATAGTGAATATAACGTAATATAATTAAATTTCTACTTTTATAGTTCCAAGAAATGTTTACTATTTATTTTTTTGAATAGTATTCCTTTTTTAAACTATTAATCCTTTATCCTAAGTATCAAGTTATAACACATTTAATTTTAAAAAACAAAAATAATATAATTATATAAAAAAATGAATTAATATTTTATTATAAGTTATAACTAATTATAATACAAGCTTAGTTGTATATAAATGAGCACTAACAAAAATTGTACTTAAATACCTAAATACAATAATTGTTTTGTACTGGATTGTTAATTTTTAGTTAAATATTTTTTTGAAAGAATTTGGACCATGTTTCGTAAATGAAAATCGTTTTACTCTATTGAATAATCGGACTTAGAAGTTCTTGAAGAGAGGTATTAGCCTTTCAAGAAAAATTGTTATATCCAAATGTATAGTCCGTCTAAATCATAAAAAATTCAAAAAATTTAAGTCCCCTAAAATCACCTAGTAAAATGTACGATATGTCTATAGCCTCGCTCACGAATATTCAATCACCCTACGCCTATACTTCATAGAATAAACCTCGCAATTATACGAGGACAATGGCCTACGGTGTCTTTTCGGCATTGCTTCATATGTTTATAATAATAATATATTATTTATAACTTATAGTCACGAGGGTATTTGTGATTTATAAGCCAGATTATTTATTACAAACATAATACGTTACGTAGATTTAATTAATGGCCAAAATATGATAGAATGATCGACAAAGTACTAGTTAAATAAATAATTACCTATAGTTTGTTATACATTTCTACCTACATTAAATATTCTTACCATAAATTTAAAACAAATTTTAAATTATCAAGATTCTAAAATAAATCAATAATAATTATGATATAATTACACGAAAACATATTAAACTGCTTCAAATATTGTATACATAATAAATAATGTGTACCTAACTATACGTATTAGCGTACAACAGTTCTCCTCTTTGTTTTAAGTAGTATAAAATATAATATTCAAGATAAAAAAATAAAAAACTCAACGTTGCTCAAGATTACATTTGATTCCTACTTTTTAGATCGATATAAAAAATAACTTCTGAACAGACAACGCCCTCTAATGACTTTCACAAATGTATTAATAATTTTTACAAGGTTCTTCCTATTAGCAAATGAAGCCTTTAAGAAATATGATATATTTAAAATGCACAGAGACCACAATATTTTATTTTGAAACCATTTAGTAAATTATTACGAAATTATTATGACTTGAATTCTCAATGATTTTAAGGTATACATAGCGCATCTTCATAATAAATAATCTTTATCAAAAGCTATTAAAATTTTCAATATTTTTACATTTTTTAAAGAAAATTATTAATTAACCTTTATTATAATATTCTGTATAGTTAAATTTTAAATAAAAAGTTGATGAGACAAATTATTCTTAAAATTTCTAACGTATCCTACAATAATATAATTATATACGTAATAAACATTATCTATGTTTGATATTATATAGTATTATAATGGTTTTATTTTAATTCACTTACATATTGTCAGCTTACAAATAAATATAATTTTGAGCCGTCTCATTTCAGTCTGAAACAAAAAAAAAAAAAAATTAATAAATCTAGTTAATACAAAAGAAAATTGATTTCATAAAACCAGAAGCATAAGTAAGAAACAAAATAATACATTTTTTTCAAATTAATTTATTTCATATATTTATCAAAATCTAATTAAAATTAATGATGAGTGCCAAATTCATAATATATACAAAATGATTTATCAAGGATACTCATTTCTCAACCCTCTTTTATCTTTTAATAATACATTGATTTAGTCATATTTCAAGTTTTTAAATTGTTAAAGATCATATTTTCAAATAGGTACATATAATTTTTTATACCATTTAAGGAATTTTGTGTAATAAAGATACAAGTGAGTTCAAATATTATTAATATTTATTAAATATTAAAATTTAAAAGTTCTAATAACCATCTTTAAAATTAAAATAACAGAAATAAACACAGGCAGAACATAGATATATTAATATTTGTATCTTTAAATTTTATGATAATTCAATTTACATTAATATTAAAATTAAAATTAGCACTACAAAATAGCTAAAATTTCCACTTAAGTAGTTTATCAAACTTGCATATAAGAATATTAATCGTGTTTATACGTTTATATGTCGGTTTTCACAATATTTTAACTTTTAAGTGAATTATTAAACACGTTTCAAACTATAGTATTATATATACTCATAACAACTTGCGTACAAATAAAATACAGTAAAAATCTGACGTACACACTTGACATTCTGACAAATAAATAAAATTGTGTAATAAAATCAATTGTTAATAATTTACACATTTTACTAAAATAATGTGAATAATGAATTATTTCAGCGATATGATAATTAAACTGTATATGTGTATGATCCAGAGCAGATTCTTTGAGTACTTTTGTGTGCGCACCGCGAAGGGAGGGGAGGGAATCAGTATAATCAAAATATATTATGTTGAAATGGTACAAAATTGCTTTACAAAAATACCGTAACGGTTCATACGTGCATTGACATACTATATAGAATAACTATTATGCATTTATCATTTTACCTACTCAAAACAAACGTAAGTAAATCAATGAAAAATAGCTCCAATACTAATACTATAACAATTAATATTAGACATCGTCGACGTGTAATTGGTAATTACACGGTTGTAACAGCCGTCGATGTGCAAGTTTTCGTTCAGTAAAAAATCACCATATACAGAAATTGAATACTTAGCTACTGTCAGCGTAAGGTTTCTATATATATCAGTTAATAGCCTATATACCAACGAAGGTTGTAATATAATAATATTGTAATTATATTATATACTAGACACGAGTAGAATAATACACCCTAATATGTGTAATGACTAATGACGCTGACAAAAAACCAAAATAACAAATAAAAAAAATCTGTAACAAATGCCAGTTTTAATCGACGCGGTCGGGAAACCTGTTTTTGTTATTATCATAATATGGGTACCTATACGTGATTATTATTGCATTTGCAATATCATAAATACTTGGGTGTGACCATTACAACCTTGACTGGTCTGACCACATCTATATATATATATATGTATAAGCTATCGGGAATCGAACGAGGAGTGACGGCAGCGGAGGAAAACAGAGGAGACGGGGCGTAGACCGCCAAGAGACAACAGTGAAAAGAGAGAGAGAAAGAAAAGACACGATGACGGGGGAGAAACAAAAAAAAAAAAAAAAAAACGCTACCAGTTTCCAGCACGAGCCGTAGCCCAAATATTACCACATATTTGTATTTTTACAATACTTACACGGTTGGACCCGTCACCTGTGTATGCGCGTGTGTATGAGAGTGTGCGTGTGTGTACAGCGTACGACTTTGATCTCGTTATGTGAAACACACGCTTATATATATATATATATATTATACACGTACACGAGTGCGCTATGTAGGCATTATACATTGTATTTTTATGTATAGGTAGGTAAGCGTATTGTATACATATCACAGCGCGGCAACGTCGTTATGGTTCGTTGCGGAAAATTCGAACGGTTTTTCGCGAGTTATTATGAAATTGATGTCTGTTGCGATAATTACTGCCACGTCCAACAGGCACATAGTAATATTATATTGACATTATTATCGTGTATAATATGCTCGTGCACGTGTACCTACGCGAACGGCGTTGCAGTTGAACGATATTATTACAATACGCACACGGTGCGCGCGTTATACAAAGGCTCCGAAACAAATTTCTAGTCGGTCGTTAAAAACGGGTCGGTGGCGCCCGGCGGCCGTAGCGTGCCCGCCCGCGTCAGCAACACGCGCGTTCAGAGATGATAATATGATGTTAAAAAAATATAATTGTTATTAAAAAATTATTATGCTTTTACTAAGACACTGTGTACCTACATATGCACACGTCTCACATAATTATATATATATATTTATTTATTTATAACATAGCGGCTGTCTGCAATTTATGTGCGAGTGTATATGTTAATAATAACTGTATAAACGAGCGTACGACATTGTAATACATTATGCGCATAATAGATGTTATAATAATTTATAATAATAATATTATATTATAATCTATAATAGTCTTACATAATAATATGGTTGCTAACAAATATTCGTGGAAAAATCGGTATGACATAATCCTCATCAGTGGTTTTGCTGAAAACCTCAGGGCGAAATATCCAAGTACACATTTTATACAACAATATTTATACACTATACACACGCGGACCTTAAGTGCACTACACTGTACGTACGTTCTTAATGAATGCTTTAACAAAAAGTCGTTTATCACGTTTTTTCCCAAGAATAAGACGTCTATTTGGAGAACACATCTATGTATTTCGTTGATATCGAAAAGAAGTCAGACACGCCATTGAATATAATATAATATGCATTACGTTTACGAGTAATATGTGTTAATACGCTTATGAGCTACCTACGCGTATTTTAAATATTATTCACATCACATAATGCAAATTACAAGATGTATATAGGTACTAAATAATTACAAAGTGACGCGTGTAAAAGTATCCTTACAGAAATAGTGGTTGACATTTATTTAGTATAATACGCTTTACGTTTATCTATTACCTATTATAATTAAATTTATTAGTTGTATATTTTGTTTTAAATTATGATTCATGAGTTCATGACGAATGATGATCGCCTGATACGTTATACTTATTAGTTATTAATTATTTTTAATAAATTAGACATGCACAAAAATAGGCATTTTTTAAATCGAAGAAAATAATATTTTAAATATTAACATGATAATCAAATACTTTGTTAACAACTAATATAATTTTTAACAATAACGCGTATTCAATAAATTTTATTACATGGATCTCACCTATGTAGTTACTTTAAAATTCGTATTAATATTAAGTATTAACAGGGCATAATGTACTCTTTCCTAACGAAATAAATTTAAACTGTGTAAATATATACTTATATATATTTATAGACAACTTATATTATTATGTATTGATTTAAATGTTTCAAGTATGGTATACAATTATTTTTAAGTAAATTGTTTCAAATAAAAGTATTAAATTTAATCTATAGGTCCCACGGCTAACGTATACATGTAAATATATTATATTTATGCATCATAATATTTTCACAACCTAAAATAGTTTTGCATGATAATAATTTTTAGACAAAAAATAATCTTCGAATCTGACTAAATATGATTTAATATGAGAAGTATTTTATTTTTTTATTTAAACAAAGTTTTATATTTATAATCTATATTTACACATTATACAATAAGTAAATTAGATAAAATTTAAATAACAAAAAAGGGAAGTCCCCAATGGATGGCATCCTGTAGAAGTATTATAACTATTTAAATATCGTGGGCTAATTCTTAATGATTATTATGATTCATTCTTTATCTAACACAGTAATGTTTCAATTTATGAATAGTTGATAAGGAAAGATATAAATTTATAATATTTATAAAATGTACTTAGTTGATATACAGTTTTTATATTTTAATTATATCTACTGGCTACTAGATTCACCTAACTCAGGTTCACGAGTTTACCGTCATTAAAAACATTGTTATGTTTATAGTTTATACACATCAAATAAAGTAGGTACACCCAACACCGCATAAACCATGTATACGGTTCACACTTAATAAGATGAAAAATAATATTTTGATCAAGAGGACAGAATAGTTCAAATAATTTATGATCAACTATGAATAATTAAATGAGGCTTTCACATCTCATACACATTTACCGTATGTAGTAACAACCACTCGATTATTTGTAAAACTAAACTACCTATTTTTATTACTATGCATGAAAAAGTAGGTATATTATAATAAAACCGATTTTTTTTTCACTAAAAGTAGAAATAATATGTTATTTTCATATTTTTTGATCTATTTACTTAAATGATATAATTGGTTATTGGTGGATTGTTATCAATTTTAAATTACTTACAAATAAATTCAGTTGGAACATATTGTACCTATATAAATATAAATAATAAATGTCTGGCATTATTTATTTAATGAGCTCATTGAATATTTTGAAAAGAAAGTAAGAGCACTTTCAGTATTTAAAGTTATACAAACACTAAACAGCATTCTTCGCATCCTAAACATATTAATTACTAAGTGTTCAATGCATAACATATGAGTTATTTATGTAAAATTATTATAAAACGATTCGTCATAACTCATAATTAATCACGTGATGTGATTTTCTTTCATAACATTATGTTTTATCAGTCCACAATTCCATAAAATAAAGTAAATTAATAATATATTGTATAAAATATAATCTATAGAATATACAAATAGGCATATATATATTATGGATATATGGATACACATATTTTTTTATCAATGTTATAATAATGTACGTTAATAATTTTCACTTTTTGCCTTTCTGTCAGTTTCAATCATAGTTTCGTTATAATTATATTTTACTTTTTAATTTAAAACAAAAGACTTTCACATTTAGTTAATGGTATTTTGATTTATTTAAGTAATAAAATGTCAACAATTTTA